TATAAGGTCTCTGGTGTTCTATTCTCAGTCCTTTTTCCTTCATATCCAACACATTTTCTCTGAGTGTTTTTTGCCCATTCTTTTGTTTTCTGGCACGCTGGTATTTCTTCAAATATACGGCCTCCCAGTCCTTTCTCCTGGTCTTTTATTAACTGAAACTCATCCTAAGTTCTTGCACAAGTCTCAGTTTGTGTTAACATTTTCATCTCTCTCACTCGGAACTTTTATTTTCTGTCTTGGGCTCCAGTGTCCCATTGTACATAACATTGGAATATGAAGCACGCAACATTTTAACTTCTGATTTGGCTTATGAACTTTTCTCTCCTTTTATGTTATGCTATCAAACTAGGAAGCTTGCCCTGGTGCTTGACCTATGAAACTGAATCCTGGATGACACCTACTTCACTGGTACTTCTAACAAGTAAAGCTTGGTTGCCACAAACTCTCTCTCTCTCCCACAAAAAAGAAAGTAGGATCTACATGGCACTAAAATAGTCCTTCTAAATGCTGGTGCATAGTGGCACCAATGTCTATCAGATAGTCAGTATTTCATTGGAGACATGTTTCGCTACAATCTCCTATCCTGAGATGATATTTGGGTAGTTCTTATTCCTCTGTAGCCCTGGGGATGCGGATAGTTGAGCTCTGGCTATGTCAAGAGAACACAGGGAGAAATCAGGCATGAAGAGTGATCCCAGAAGGTTTGAACTTATTATTCTCTTCTGAAGGTCTGTTCAAGAAGGATGTTTTCCTTCTGCATAATTTTTACTGGATTTATAAGGATAGAGAAGAAAACAATGAATATGCAAATCTGAAAGGAGAAGAAAGAAGTGTGGAAATAGGGAGGAGAGGAAGCAGGAGCCCCGGATGGTTCTGAGACCCAGGAGTCTCAGGGCCTCGGCCTTGGATAGGTTTCCACAACCGATGGCAAGTCGAAGAATACCAGGGGAGCAAGCCCAGAGACAATGACAAATAACCAAAAGCTAATCTAATCAGAATGCAGAGGAAAATGGAGACAGACAGTTACTTTGGGGTAGGAAAGCGATCCCAGAAAGCACTAGTAGGGCCGTGGGAATGTGAGACAGGGAAGGGAAAGGAGCCGACCCAGGTTGTGTTGATGAGCATCTTACCACTGTAGACAATGATAAGGGGGTTTCCACCACAGACAACTGGGTCTCTGTCCTGCCGGGGACCACAGCAGTTGGTCCAGAATATACCTCAGAATTATCTTACTTGGTGGGCAGTGCACAATTTAATAAGCAAGGAAACTGGGGTATTTATCCACTAACTTCTCACTGTCACAGACTGAGGTCAGCTCCTGGGGACCTTAGCTCTCTGATGAGTTCAGGCTGCTCCGTGCACTAGCCAAGCATCCTCTCGTAACCAGGTGAAGCCTCAGGCAGAGTCACAACTGGTTGAAGGAAGACACCGCATGCATGCATGAGAACACTGAATGGCAAGGAGATGTCAAAGAGGCACTGAAAGCATCTTCATGAAAGGTACATGTTGGGTGTCAAAGACCTAGTCAAGATTGGTCTATGTGGCTTGGACCAGGGTGAAGCCAGGGAGGAGCCATATGCATCTCAGTCTTAAGGAAGTACTCACTTCCAGGGCCATTCACCTGTAGGGTTGGCACTTGAGAGACCTTGGCAGTGACTGTCTCCTTCAACTTTGTGCCCTGGACACCAAACTTGCCTCACACTAGTCCTGGCACTGCTGATCTAGTGGGAGAATGAGAGACTCCTGGCTTCAATGATGCTGAGTGGAAACAATGAGAGTGTCAGTAATTCGAGAGATTCTGTACCTGAAATAAAGGATGGAAAGTAGTGGAAGTTGGGTCTCTTTCCTACCTGAGAAAATGGGCTGGAAAGAAAGAGATGAAAAAGCAGGTCCCAGTCAGTAGATTAGGGCTCAGGACAGCCCTCCTTCCCACACATAGGGACAGTCAACTCCAGAAAGTTTGAGTTAGGTTAGTGACCTGACCAGTCCTAGGGCCAGCCCTTTTGTAGCCTGTTCACCACACCATTGGCTCTTTTGCTGACCTCACTCTCACGACCCTCTTGAGAGAAGACAGAACAACTAGAATTGGTGACACCAGCACAGGGGACCAGACTGAGCCTCCTCATAAGGCTAATTTAGGAATTGTGTAAAGGTATCCATCCTCAACATACCGGCTAGCTTCAAGCCCTTCAGTAGCTGAGACTTCCTTTCTCAGATAAAACTCTGCTTCTGGATTCTTCTGACAGACTGGACCCCAGAGGAGCCCTGGCCACATGGATGTCCAGTCAATGGACAGCTGTTGAGAAAAGCTATCATGTTCTTTGTTCTGGGGCAGGAGGCTCTCTGGACTTATTTGATATGGGGGAAAAATGCCTACAGGGTAAAAAGTCATTGAAGATTAGCTCACTAAACAGTTCTAGAAGGAGAGTCAGGCCTCGGGGTCCTACAACACCCTTCCCTTCCTCAGGTATGACAAGATATTTGGTATCGAGGGGCCCTGCTGGAGACACACACCACATTAGTCACACCAGGAGGGAGGTTTTGTAAGGGAAATGCTTTAAGCCCACAGTGAATGTTCCTGTCTCTTTAAGTCGGCACTACCACCTAACCCTCCCTCTGCGCTTTCCAGAGCTCTGAGTCTCAAAGGTCTGAGACTTCCTCTGTGCACACTGGGAGAAAATAGCCTGCAACGCTCGCAACCAAAGGGAAAGCAGAGATCAGGGCTTTCTCAGATCACCTGTCAGAGTCTGTCACCAGGAAAAGCGAGCCCCGGCAGGGGACAGGAGCTGCAACCAACCGGAAGGAACATGGCTCTGAGAGCATTTACTGTGTGAGCACCTGGGTTCCACCAGGCACCACGCGGGTAAGTTAAAGCCGGAGCCATTAAGATGGGGCATCCAGATTTGTAAAGATGTCACAAGTTTCCAGCAGAGGAAGTTCAAAAGAAGGTTTATGAGCATCTTCTCCAGGACACACACTCCTGTCTCCTTCCACACTCCCTCCATACAGTAAGAGAAGTGTGTGCTGGAACCACATCTAGGAATAAAATACTTTTTAAAAGGCATTCAACATTGCCCAGATGGCATTTTCAGCACAGGCAGAAGATATTTCTGTGGCCCCGAAAGCAGTCTAACTTCAGAGCAAGTTACAATGTGGTGAGTCAGGATACCATCAGAATTCACCCCCCAGATTCTCCCTCTCCCCTCTGTCCACAGGAGGGGACCCTCCAGAAATTTAAGAGGTCCAGAACTGGGTCTTCAACCCCTCTCCCTGCATGACCCCTTACATGTCTTCTCCCTAATTCAGGTCTCTCCCACGCCAGCTGCAGGGACACCTCAATTTCATCATCTGTACAGTGAAGGGGTCTGAATAAATAGCTCATTTCCAAACTCTGATTTGTGGACTGATTACATCAGATACATCAGGTTCATAAATCGGAATTTCTGAGCATGGTCCCCCCAGAATGGACATTTTTAAAGAACACTCAAGTAATTCTGAAAAACAGCAAGTCTGAGAGGCACTGAACTACATGCACTTTGAGTTTTCAGAGTATTCCGAATACAGGATTCTACATGTTTTATGTAGTTCAAAAACTAAGAACCATTTGTCGTCCCAGATTGCAGTGGGAGCTTACCTCCTTCTTGAAAATTATTTTAAATGATTTTAACCCCCATTTCAAACTATATGGAAAGTCCAGTGACCTACTCAAGAGTTCTGTGGATTCCGTGTAACTCAGTTCCTCATTTCCGGCTTTGACAAGGACATCTTGCTTTAGCTGAATTTTTCTTCTTGGCTCTGAACCTTGTGGCTCTTTCTTCATTTCTGCTCTGGTGTCAATTATGGGAGTTTGTTGATTTCTAGACACAAAATAACTAATCATATTATGTGATTTACCCCTGGGGTAAACTTTACAGAAAGCTTTGGATGGGGTGCAACGGTGTGGGGGGGGTGGTGGCAGGAGAGTTACTGCAGAAACACCGACAGCTTTGGCTTGAGTTCTAGGCAAACCTGCCATCTGAGTCCTTTGGCCAGAGACAGGTTATTCAGCCAACCTCTCCCTTTGCTTTTGCTTCGTTGTTGGTGCCAATAGGGGGAGAACACAGTTACCTGTAGGAACCAGGTGGGTGTCATGAAGAGGTAGAATTTGAAATGGACCTTAAAGCACAGACAGGACTCAGGCAGAAGTGTGTGGTGGGATGAATGGTCCTAGGAATGAACGCACAAGGTGGGTTGGAAAAGGCCCTTAAATCTGCTGTTTGTGGAGGGGCTGACTGGGGAGGGGATTAGGTGGAAATGAGGCTGGAGTAGACTGAGAAGAGACTGTGCTCTCGTGTGATCAGGCAAACTTGACCACAGAATGTTTAATTGTATTAAATAATGTATTTTACTTCAAAAAGCCTCAGGTTTGAGGCAAGAACATAAAGAGCTGGAGGGGAGCATCCCAGTCTCACCCTATTTAGACATATTAGGACGAGCCAAATCATGTGGTTTTCTGAGAGCAGGAGCTCTCCAGACCAGTTTGGGAAATACGTCTGTTTTCCTATTTCCAAAAACAAAATTCCAATTTTCTTCTTGTTTGTTTCCCAGGCCAACAACCCTAAGGTAGGTCCTAAGTCAGTGAGCAAACTTTCTTCTTCTCAGCGTTTTCCAAAGTCCCGCACCCCACCCCTGGCTGCTGAATCTCCTGGGAAAACTTATTTTCTACCACTTATGTCACTAACATAAAATTACCTGGAAAAATTAATATCTAAAGCTTACTCATTGACATCGAGCATTATCATCTCCCCTCTGCTCTGTGCATTTCAAGGTCTTGAAAGACAAAACAAGCTCGCGAAGTGTTCTCACAGTATCATCCCAACCCCAGACAAGTCTCTTCCAATGTCTTCCGTAAATTCTGATGCTCAGAGAGGGCAAGAACTATGACATTCTCACTGTGGTGTCGCCAGCTCTTTGGACTTTGCCTGACACATTGGAGGTAGTTATACTTATTTGATGAATGAATGATTGAACAAATGGTGTTTGGGACTCTTTCAGTTAATCATGAGAGGACAGAAGACAGCAAGAGATGAAGAAAATGACTGTGGCAAGAACACGCTTCACAACGCGTGTTTGCCCCCAGGTGTGAGCTCCAGGTAGTAAGGGGGATGGGCTATCTCAACACTGAACAGAGAGAAGCCCCAGAGGTTTCTCGATGCTGGGATGAAACAGCAAGAGCCCTGGGGCTGGCATTTGACCTAGATCTCTGCCCCTGACCTGCTGTGAGATATTGAGTTCTTTGACTAGCCTGCACCTCCGTTCCCAAAGTAAAATGAATAAACCTCCTCTGATCTCCACAGGAGCGGGTGTAGAGGGAATCCAACTGTATACTAGAGGGAACGTGATTCACCAGGTAGAAGGCGTTAGGGAACAAGGATGGAGGGGTAACCGGGTATCTTATTAGGCAGCAGGTTTAAGAGAGAGGAGAGGAAGAGGAGGGAAAGA